AAACGTAAAAAGTTCTACTATTTAGTATTATAGCATGGCTCTACAGAACATGAAATGCATTTCTTGTGGGTGTGTGGTTCAGATCGTTTGCATGTATATGTTCTCGTGACTCGAGTTTTGCCCAAAGCGGATGTAGAGTAGAGGCACACGACAGAAGCCAACAACTTTATTGCTATAAAAAAAAAAATACAAAGGGGTGGGATCATTCGCTCGCGGATCTAGTAGAACCTAGACCCTCTTAGACCACTGACACTTGGCACTGGGGAAGCCATCTTGACGAAACTTGGCTGAGCTATCAGTCTAGAATGAGGTGGAACCTCAAACAACTGAAGAAGCACTCACGAGAGGCCCACGTACCCTCCATGTTCCCAATGACTAGCTCACTAACTTTCCGAAGTGGGTAGTCCAAATTTTCTTTTGGGTTTTGGGAGTTTTGGGTTCCTAGAAATGAGAGGCCTTAGTTCTTGGGGGGGTTTTATGTTAGAGGGCAATTTGGGAATTTTGTTCTAGGGTTAGGGGTATTTGGGGAAACTAGGGATGACTTGGGTATTTTGATAAAGTTAAGGGGTGATTTGGGGATTATAGAATGGAGGCAGGGGCAGTTTGGGAAGTTCAAGTTTCATCTCTCTAGGCAAGAGTTTCTCTCTCTACTTACCCAAAAAAAAGAGTTTCACTCTCGAGATTAGAGCCTAATTCTCCAACCTTAAAAAATGAGGTGTAATAGACATGGAAAAATATGGGTGGAATATTAAAAGTTGGGTGAAAAATTAAAAGCATGGTTCAAAGGTTATTAAAATTAAATTCGACGTAAGGCTGAAAACGACAAAAAATGATGCCTAAACCTTGAAATTTTCAATGATTTTCCCTTGAGGAGGCTTCCTTCTTCATCCACCACCAAAACCCATCAAATCGGACCATTTTTCCATGATCATTTTGCAACAAATTTGAGCAAAAACTGTCCACAATTCACTAAGTTTCACTCATTATGAGTTTTGGTGTTTTATTTCCAGTAAAAATTGCATACCCATTTCTACACTTCGTCGTTGTGCTCAAATTTGGCCGCTATTTAACGATCAGCAGGTAGAATGTTGTGGAAGACCCCGAGACCGATGTTAACCAAAACTTTTGGTGCAAGATGATGCTGGATAGGAGAGAGATGACTCTTTTAATTTTTATTATTTTTAGCAACTGCAGTCTCATAAATTTAGGCAACTTCTCACTAGGATTTGCCCCTTGAATTGGCTTTTGATAGTGGGTGACCGTGTATGGATATGTTTGTCTCTGAGTTGGGAAGTTCTCTAAAAAATTTTGGGCTCGAATTGCTATACGAATTGTGAGATATTGCTCAGTGAGTGAGCGGAGGTTATGGGACTAGTACACATCACTTGTTGCAAACCTCCAACCTTTTAGCTCAATTCGACCTCTTTCCGAGTGGAGAAACCCATGAATCTTTATATGGATGAAAAGCCCATGTAGCAAAGAATAACATACTAAAATTTGGGCCCATTTGGCTTGGGAAATTGGGAGATATGGCCCCTGACCTTTTGCAAAAAAAATTGCTGCTTGCAGTGCACCAAAGATGATGCCAGAAAAGACACTTCTAGACACCAGATTTGGCTGAAAATTTTACCAATGGCTTTTCTCATCATCACTTTCCTCTCATAAAAACTTGGGGCTCATTGGTCATTGATTTCTTGGGTCCTTTTGTAAAGTTGGGCCAATTTAGGTGGACCCTGTTGGGATATAGATATCTTGGGTTCATATCGATATACATCATTATGGATGTATATGTTTCTTGATAAGGTTAGGTATCTAGAAGATAGAGACGAAGTTACTTGGTCATCAAGTTATCATACCATAATTATCTTCCCTAATTGTGTGATTGTCCTCTATATATAGAGGTACTTATTGATATAAGCTTTAATCCAATATAATGAAGATGTAGCAGGTTGGGGCTTTGGATCCGTGGACGTAAGGGTTCGGCCTGAACCACGTAAACATTCTCTCTCCCTTCTATGTTCCCACAAATTCTAACATGGTATCAGAGCACCTTTATCAGTGTGATAGCCCTTGGCCAATGTGAGAGATGCGATTGTAACTGAGATCAAGCACACACAAGCGAGTAAGTTCACATAGGCCTTCGATGGTCAATATTTTGTTTCTTGAAAAGTTCGGTGTGTGCAGGCTCTTTGGCAGGGACCCAGGAGATATATAAACAATGAAATTGCCAGAGAGATTCAATACCCGAAGGCATGAGTACATTGAAATTGCTGGAATCACTTTCAGTCCCATGCCAAAAATATGGGTCACTGTAGAAAAACAGTTCAGTGACCTTATCACATTGTTTGCCTGCAAAACCTTGCTATGTAAATTCTTGTGTGACTTGTCAACCAATTCAGCCCCATTCTCACATGAAGAAGAACCCCCATCATCACTATGCTCATCATCAAGGATGGTAGCACGTAGCGTATCCTCTCTCTCATCAACAGCAGAAGAAGCCATTGGTTCATGGTTCACCCTATTAGATTGATGCGATTTATGCATATTTCTATGGCTCCATAAGAAGAGCTTCCACCAAATCCGCCGGCTCCTTCATGGAAGCACTTGGCTCGACGATCTTCTATTGAGCATCACCCTATCAGCACTACAGGACTCCAACCAGGAGTTGGGCTTCCTTTTTCTAAAGACGTGCCTTGGTCACATTCACCGAGCGTCTTCCATAAGGAGGAGGCTCATACGTTTTCCTCCTTATTTTTTTTTCCAGCCATCGCATACCCCAAGGGACTCAAAAAAAAAAAAGGGCTTTTGCAAATTGGGTGTTTCTTCGCATCCACACACCCAACTTGAGGGGGAGAGTATAAGAGATATGGAAATGAGATGAACAAAGATGAAGTCAACATCTCTAATGCAACCGCTATGTGGACAAGAAAATCCAGATTCTGGATCAGTCCAATTACTATGCAAAGGGAAGTTATGGTTAGTGATCAAGAGTTCCGTCTCCAGATGAGGAGATGAAGATGATCAAAGTTCACAGTCCTGGTTGTTGATCAAAAGTTCTGTCTCCATATGAGGAGATGAAGATGATCAAATTTCTTGATCTTGATTGATGATCAAGTTTTCCGAGAGATGAAGATCATCGAATTTCTCGATCCTGGTTGATGATCAAGTTTTTTGTTCCTTGATCTTGTTTGATGATGGAGTTTTCCATTGCTCCATCCTGTGTGATGATCGTCGAGTTTTTCGTTACTCAATCTCGGATGTTCCGAAGAGAGATCTTCAGAGAAGCCTCTAAAGAGAGAGATCTTCAGAGAAGAAATAGAGAGCCCAAGAAAGGTTGTTTCTTGGATAACTTTAACCTTTTTTGGAAGACTTTAGAGAGAGAAAGCCTCTAAAAAGAAAAGAAGCCTCTGAAGAGAGAGATCTTCAGAGAAGCTTCTGAGAGCCCAATAAAGGTTGTTTCTTGGAAGACTTTAGAGAGAGAAAGCCTCTAGAAAAAAAAGAAGCCTCTGAAGAGAGTGTTGGGATACAGATTTATTGGAAGACCATGGTAACATGTGATTTTTTTTTGGTAACTTAGTATTGTTCAAACTCGAGCTGCTTTGTGTCAAAGCATCTTGAGTTTGAGGGGGAGTGTTGGGATATAGATATCTTGGGTTCATATCGATATACATCATTATGGATGTATATGTCTCTTGATAAGGTTAGGTATCTAAAAGATAGAGACCAAATTACTTGATCATCAAGTTATCATACCATAATTATCTTCTCTAATTGTGTGATTGTCCTCTATATATAGAGGTACTTATTGATGTAAGCTTTAATCCAATATAATGAAGATGTAGCCGGTTGGGGCTTTGGATCCGTGGACGTAAGGGTTCGGCCTGAACCACGTAAATATTCTCTCTCCCTTCTATGTTCCCACAAATTCTAACAGACCCTACCTACAGTTGAAGATGATCGGAAGGCCATATCTCTTCCATCCAATTTTGAATTGGGTTAAAATTTGGACTGTAGCCTTTCTATATTGATATCTGCCGCCCATAAAGTTCTCAGGCCATTTATCTATGTATATCTTGAGGAAGCTTTGTAAATTGGCCTTAGATCAATGTTGTGAAATAGACAGTTGAGCTTCATTGAACCATATCTTGGTCATCCGGCCTCAGATTGGTCTGATTTTTGGAGGGTAGCCTGGGGGTACCTTAGATTAAAGATTTAGTGGCCAGATTTACATTTTGGGCTAGTTTGACCAGAGTTTGACATGCCTCCTTCTAGATCGTCTGATTGTTGATTTGAGGAGGATTAGGCTAGGGTCATTCTTGTTTTTGCAAAGGGGCTTCCTTTCATCTTATTACGGGGATTTTTATGATGTTGAAGTCACTATGGGGTTGCTTTTATCGATGCCATTGGACTCTGCTATTGGTGGCCTTTTATTTAATACCATTTCATGAGAAGTTTTTCCTTAGCAATTTTGGCATTTGATTCTGGACGCTCGAACTGAACTAACGGTTTGAACTAGCAGTTTTCTTTCTCTTCACGAAAGTACTGAACTTGTGTTGCTTCTCGTAACCATTGAGACAAAATACCCCCAAATAGTGGGTGCTAGAAAATCATCTCCAAAGCATTCCATACCATTTCTAAATATATATTTTCCTTATCCATGTTCTTATTTACTACCTCACACCTTAATTGTCTCTGTTCTATCTTAACTCACACTATTTTCCTAACTCATCGTTTCACTCTTTCAAACAACACTCATTTAGATAATTTTATGCCCATTCATTGACAAAATGTAATTAGTTCTTTCAGCTTGAACCAACAAAATTGTAGTCCACAAACCAAAGAACTACAGTGGTAAAGTATATGTAGACCCCAAATTGATAACAAGCTGAACCAAGTTCCATAGAGTGAAAAATGCAATCACGATAACATAACAAACCCAAACTCCAGTATGACGTGTAACATAGTTTAACTAAAAGTGTCATGCAAAAATAAAAACAAACCTGATCCTTGTTTTTACTTTGGACGCGACTAGTGATCTTCTCAAAATTCTGCATGGTCAAAGAAATATAATATTTCTTTTCATTCACTTAGTCTGAAAAAAGAAGGAAAAGGAAAAAGATTAGGGAGTAGAATGATACCTTACCAACTTGTCGTAATGCACTAAAAAAACTTTCCTCTTCTTGACGAGTCCAGGCAGCCCATTGTCGTGTGGGTTGTTTTGGTTGTTTTGTTTTTTTCGATTTTTTAACTACAAGCACAGGCAAAAAGATCCAATCATATTTGCATAAAACAAACAAAGATTTGGAATATGTCAACAGATGCTCATTCTCTCAAACAAATAATTAGAGAGACACACCAGAATGTTCAGAATGACCACCACTTGGAGAAGATGACGGAGCACTGGGATGTCCATCCTTAATCGCCAAAATCTCTCTTGGAGAACAAGGCTCATTTTCCAAAGCCATGTGACACTTCAATTGCATGTTGAAGAAATCAGTGAAATATATGGACTTCTAAGTATTTGGCTCCCTTAGAGAACAAATATGAAATCACACAATCTGAGAGCTTCATAATAACATGAAAGGTCTGGTTTGACAGCAAAACAAACCTAGTATCAGATAGTGCCAAACCATGGGATAATAACAACTATGAGGCTGCTCATCCCCTGGCCTAGATGAATAAATAAAAGCAGCATCTAAACCACAAGAATAACTAATACATGCGCAAGAAAGACAGATACTACAGGCAATGATGAAATAGTGACTATGATTTGACCATACTTGAGGGTCAATAATTCAGCCCAACGCCTAGGCCTAGGTAGGCCCACATGTGTACATAAGCCTAGAAACCTGATGATGCAGGGAGCAAACAATAAACAGAAATAAAATACAAAAAAATAAAAAAAAAGGCTGAGAGATTATTCCCTCCCAAGTTCTGCAAGGGAGTCCACCCCAAAGGTCTTTTCACAAGATCAAAAAATACTGCTCCACCCAATTCACCATCCTCCTTTCAAATAAGGGACATCTTCACTTTAAATACAAACTTAAAAAGAAATTAAAAAAAAAATCAATAAAAAAAACCAATAAAACTCTCTCTCTCTACCACGTTTTTCTCTCCCTAAATCTCTATCCCTCTCATGTAAGTCCCCCCCCTCTCTCAATCTCACGTTATCCCCTTTAAAAAGTATCTTTGTACATCAACTAAATCCCATAAATATGGGTGATGCCTTTTTAAGTCCCCCATATCTATCTTATACCTTCCTATTTTAAGGTAAAGTGAACTTTTCAATTTTACCCTTGAAATCTGTACTGCCATAAAAGTAAAAGATAACCCTAAAGAAAACTAAAAAACACAAATAACCCTAAACTTAAAAATATAAAAATAGTAAAAAGAGTTAAAAAAACCCACTCTATTATTCTCCTGGGGTTGGGAAAAGCTCGACCTCGAGCTTGTTGAAGTTAATCTTTTAGAGGCCTTCGCAAAAGTTGATGATGTAGTCCCAATATTCTTCTGGGTACTTTTTTTTCTTCAAATAAACAAGTGAACACAATTTGTAGTGGAACTCTGAGATAACAAATTCTGGAATACCAAATTGAATCTTGAATTTTCCTCCAGGCTCACAAGGTTGGATTCCACATACTACAATCAGCGTATCTTCTCCCTCATAATCGAAATTTCTCGCATATTTGGGTTCTTGTCATAATCTTTCGCATCGAGATTTACCTTTTACACTCTTGTTCTTCTTGTTGCAATATACTAAATTGATCTTGTAGACCTTTCTCTCACACTTTTTTATCCAATCACTCAAATATTTGATCCCATCGATCCATATGCTCCATAATACAATCGCTCTGATCTACGGGCCTGACCAAGCTGCTCTGATACTAACTGATGTAGGGAAAAAATAGTAATTAAGAAAATAAATAAGTAAATAAATAAATGGATGAAAGATTATACCTCTCAGGATCTGTAAGGGAGTCCATCCCAAAGATCTTTCACAAGATCAAAAACATTTATTTACTCAATTCACCATCTTCCTTTCAAATAAGGGACCTCTTCCCTTTAAATACAAACATAAAAAGACAATTTTTTAGATTCATGGACGCATCAGATAAGATTCACGATGTCTTATTCATTCATGAGTAAATGGAAAAATGCATAGAGGTATGGGAGAGTCATGTGGTTTATGTGGTAACTGGCAATGCTACAGCCGATATGGTGGCTGCTAGAATGTTGGAGATGAGGAAGCCACACATTTTTTACACTATGTGCAGCGCATGCATTGACCTTATGCTTCAGGCAGTTAGCAAGATGAAAGTAGAGGGCCCAGCTCTGAAGAAAGCAAGCCACAACAATGTTCATATACAAACATACCTATGCCTTGGCAATGATGAGAAATTTTGCACGTTAGAAGAACTTAGTGAGACCTGGCGTGACTAGATTCGCCACCTCTTATTTGGCTTGCATTCTATTTTGGTCCACAAAGACAAGTGCAGGGTCATGTTTGTATCAAGAGTGGATTCTTCAAAGTAAGTGGGCCACAACCACAAGTGGAAAGGGAGTGGTTGACATTGTCCTGCAAATAGGGTTTTGCAATGGAGTTGCCTATATGCCCTCCAAGCCTTCGACCCGTTAGTTGACGTTTGCGCCTTGCAGATAGTGATAAGGAGTCGACTATGGGTCGCATTTATGAAGCAATGGAGGTTGTCAAGGAGAATATCAGGAGGAACTTGGGCTACAATGCAAATTATTGTTCTCATTCTGAAACTTGTAGAAGACAATGAAACTCACAGCTAGATTGACCCCTACACCTAGCAAGGTGCTATCTCAACCTACTTATTTTTATGATAATCCTCATATTGATATTATAGTTTGTTTCATGTTTGCAATCAACAAGTGCCGAGTGAGACTCAACCCTAGTATAGAAGAGCAAGACCAAGTGTCAAGAGATCTGGTAAATATATATTATCGATGGGGTCATTAGGTATGGTAAGGCAAAGCTCTTCCCCAGTAAGTTCGAAATTTACTGCTGCTCGTGGTGGACCAATCATGGGGCAAGTACTAGTCACTTATAAAAGATGGTTGTAGGCTTATTGAATTTGACATGTAGCTCATCTGGTTGTGACGGTAACTTTAGTACCTTTGGAATGATAATTCTTAAATAACTCATTGTACATTTATTCAAGTTTCCATGTCCTACTAACCTATGCATATACTATATATGCTATTTTTTAAGTTCTGATCATGAATTATCCATCCTTGTTTGAGTACCTTGTTTGAGCAACATGTTTGAGCAAAAGAGAAACGTGTTCAAGCAAAAGAGACTGAACGATTAGAGGCTATTTTAGAGGCAAAATTGTGGGTTCTAGTCTCCTTGAGGGTATTTTTAGGTCATTTTTTTAATACTAAAGGGGCAAAATTGTGGGTTCTAAGTTCATTTGAAACCTAAAACCCATTAGAGGCTATTTTAGAGTGAGAAAACCAAAAAAAAATATTCTATTGGGCCGCCCAGGTTCTGGGTGCCGCCTAGCGCTTTTTTAAACACTGGTTCAAACACTAGCCGAGTTGAAAGATATAGAGGTCTCCCGAGTCTGTTGAGGAGAGAGAGAAGGGGATCGAACTGTTGAGGAGAGAGCAAGAGCCGTGATGTCTTAACGCGAGAGAGAAAGGTCTTCGAATGATGGAGCTTAACGTTCTCTGGTTCTTCTCTTCAGATAGAGCAAAAATAGTCTGCTTATGTATGAAGAGAACATGTTTCTTTATGGGTGGGGTCTCTGGTTCTTCACTTCAAAGAGAGAAGGCTCTGATTTTGTAGAAAGAAAAAGGGCTATAGGGTGTGCTCTATGGTTCTTCTATGTAGAGATTAAAGGGGGGAAGTTTGGTTCTGCCCTGTAGAGAAGGACATGCTTTTCTATCATTTTTTTTGTAGAGCCTTTGTTCTCTCTTCACATACCTCTTCTCCCTCTTCTCTGTCTTGGGTTTCTTTCAGCATCTTGTCCTATTCTCTCGCTAGGGTTTATCTTAAGTTCTTAACCTTTTCTCCACTCTCTCTCTAGGTTTTGTTGTTGCACGGAGAAATTGAGAAAATGGAAGAGAGAGTTAGACATCTATCATTGATGCCGAGAGATGACGGTAGGTAATGCTTGTCCTGGGTGAAGCAAAGATCGGCATATATGAAATAGCCACTTCTAAATGTTTTTTCTAGACTAGGCATACGAAACTATGTTAAACTAAGGACTTTAGGTGAATTCCGTACTATATTTTACATATATATATATATTGAATTGGAGATGCATCAATGATAGAATCATTTATGATTGAATCAAATACTGCTTCGATAGAAATGCAAGAAGAGGGATAAAAAGAATAAGAAAGAAATAGGAGTAGACACTTCCACTATTAGTGGATAAAAGAATTTCTTTCACTTCTGAATCCCAAATGATTCGATTAGGAGTCAGTACACAAAGATTTAGGGTCATTTCTTTAATTTGCTCTCTACTTCTAAGTTAATAGTCTTCGCGGTAGCTTCATCGATGTTACCTACCAAATAAAAAGCTTTTCGGAGCTGCTCCCAGCTCACACTATGGTGGAGGAGGTGCCGTGAAGATCTAGGAGTGTGAGCAGTACGAGCAGAAGGCTCCCATACTGTTTTGGGGGCAGGGGGCAGAGATGCCAAACCTGACCCCTATCTATCGCCGTAGAAGCTGTTCCTTACTCACTCCAATGAAGCACGAAGAGATCGCTTCTTTCTGTTAGGCATAGACCGAAAGAGGAGGTCTTGAGAGGGGTCTTTTTACAGGCTTAGCAAAGCTTAGGGCCTTATTAGAGCCAGGCCATTCTTTGAGGCAGACTTTTGAGAGTGCTTCGCAAGTAAGATATAAAACACTCCCTGAGGGGATACCGAGCCATTTATAGGAAGTATATACATATATACATATACATATATGTATATGTGTATACATATACATATATGTATATGTGTATACATATACATATATATGTGTATATGTATACATATACATATATAAAAGTATACATATATATACATATATGTATGTGTATATATGTATATATATATGTACACATATATGAATACATATATACACACATACATATATGTATATGTATACATATACGTGTACATATATATACATATATGTATACACATATATATATGTATATGTATACATATATACATATATGTATACACAGGTTTTGCATATCCTAGGATCCAAACGACCCATTACAGTTTTAGTAATTCAATTTCAATTTTCAACCCATGTCTATTATAGTGGCATGGTATAATAAATTAATACACATAGAAAATGAGAAAACCATTAGACAACAATTGTTTTTTAAAATAAAAGTTCTCTAAGTTCAATTAAGGAGATTTGGTATCCAATCCAATCCCCCAACATCATATTTTGGACCTAGAACCCCTCCCTCCCCCGCCTCCCCCCAACAAGGCCTTGGTCCCAATATGTGCAGTGTAGGTCTCTAGGCACCCGCATAGGCGGCTGACTACGACTTTTCAAATATTGACTATACTTAATACTATAATAATTGTTGTTATGCTCTTGCTTGTCTAGGGAAATCCATCAAGAACTTTTACATGAATACTACAAGATAAAACACACAACATCCAGCATCCAGTAAAGTACTCAACATTCTTGATGTCAATTTCTTAGCAAACAAAATAGCATCATACACAGTTATATGCGAATAAATTTGAACAGAGTGGTTTTTACGAAAGCCAAAAACATTAGCTTATCTCTTACCTTCCTAACAAGATATTTCCATGTATTATCAGGTCATATTTTATGAATTGATATTGGAATGAGAAACCCAATGGTGTCCAATATATTGCCAAACTAAGGTAATTGGTTATCATATTTTACAAGTATGTGAAATAGTTATGTCTATAATTATTGCACATATATCATATACATCACCAGTCTAACGCCCATTGCCAAGTATATCAAATTAGGCTAAATGCTGAACTTAGAAGTTTGCCAGTATGGCTATAATCAACGAGTTAAAAATATCGGTTTCCAACTTCTCTGCTCAGCATGGATACGTCCTAATAACTTAATGTGGAGAACGTGTAAACTCAACAAGACATGCCCTATTTTTTTCTAACCAGAATATAGATCGTCAGCCTAGGCAAGTCTTCAGATGATAAACTCTAAGGAATGACAACTCTAAAGAATATACACCATGATCATTGGCCCATAGTTGAATACGGCTTGGCAAGGCTATTGGGGATTCAACAAGTTCAACTCAACCAGCTACAGAACAAATTTTGTTACATAACTTGACTCTGAGTTGTAATGTCACACGTGTGACAGATGCAAGTCTAGATCTGAGATTGACATGCTCTAAATATGAAGAATATATTAATGTATGTGTAAGCCAGGTATGCTGAAATGTGGCTTAGCTTCCTTGAGGGTTGGGAAATGGAAAGGAAGAAAGCACAAATAATGAGAAGTACACATGCAATAACTTGAGCAATTGAAAAAACACTCTCAAATATAAGCCCAGGATGGAACATGTTGGACATGAATGAATGGGAAGAATTTGTGTATAACTGAACATTCGTAGTCAATACGCTCCTGCATAAAAATGAGATCAGAACAAGAATTATACAGAATTGAAGGAAAAACTATAAAATAAGATGATGCATGATTCACAAGTGATATGTGTGACGATTAAACCCTAGGTGCCAAACCATACAGAAGCATTAAAACGAGACCACTGAAACGAAGGAAAAAGTACTAATCAAAACACAGATACACAATCAAATCAAAATGGGGAATTACTAGTACTTCATTCATGATAAGCCCACATCCATATCAAACTAACATCAGACAAAAGGGGGGAAAAAACTATGATGAATGAGGAGAAAACCCTGATAGATTAGACACATCACAGAAAGAATGGACAACAAGGAGAAAAAAAAAAAAAGGGATCTAATTCCCGTGCAAACCCTAAATTGAACTATGGAAAAAGAAATTGGTTTCCAGTATAGATCACAAGTCAGTGATTAACAGCCATCTGTGATTAATAACCCTTTGACTACCAATTCAAACAACATGAATGTTATCATAATGGTTGCCACTGTTGGAAGGAGAGATGCGTGGCAGTAGATTAGATTATTCATTATAAGAAACAGAGAGAGAGCTCAAAACTTGTTGGCGATTCTCTACTAATGTCGCATGATTGAGATAAGGAGACAAAGAGAGATGGTGAGTACATACATACATACCTGTAGAGAGAGAGAGAGAGAGAGAGAGCGCGCTCAGTTAGTAGTCTGCAATCAATTGATGAGAGAGAGAGAGGATGAAGTCTTTCTGCAAACTCTTTTCTTCTTTTTCTTTTCGTTCGGTTTTGGAGGGAGAGAGGGAGGGAGGGAGACCAAAATGTTAATAAAGTTGGGTTTTTAGTAAACCATGATTTTCTCTTCCTGATTGAGAATCAATTCACAATCGATATCTACAACCAACTTACCGCACCAATTTACTTTATATTATTCCCTACTTCTACATTACATTAGAAGGTTGCATCCTTATATAAACTTTTTCCTATCGGCAAATATAATCTCCATTCTCCGCTGTATATTAAAATTGTAACAACCTTCTAACTCTTTTATTATAGAGAAGATTGCCGCGAAATCTTAATTTACAATGCTATCATTTTAATTACTATAAATAAAATAATGTATTGTATACAATCGCCTGCTTACCTTTGGCTCAATTAGTTATAACTATGAATAAAATAGTGTATTGTATACAATGGCCTATTTACTTAATTGTGTTATAAAATTTGAGACTTTTTTTTTTTTAACTTTGAGCTTGGTCAATGTAATACATGTAGCCACTCAATTTCACATTCAATGTTCAAGATTAATTGTGAACACTTTGTATCAAAAGTGAATGGTCTCATTATATAATTTCCCATAAAATAGAGAATTTCACATTGCAAATTATGTACAGAGGTTAATTTGTTTTCTTTTCTTTTCATTTTTTCAATATTCCCCCTTTGTTCAATATCGGACTGCTTTTTTTTTATTATTATTATTATTATAGGGATTGATCTTATGTCTGGATCCTTGAACCACTTGGTATATATGAAAATTGTGTAAGCCGAGCGGTCCGAGGCTCTAGACCTCCTAATAGATTTTGATAAATTTTGCACCTACCCATAATTACCATATCTAAATAAATGGAAAGTATAGAATGAGACCGTTTATCTTTCGTACAAGGTGATCACATTAATCTTGACCATTGGATGTGAAATTGGGTGGCTGCAATTATGTTGTTGACCAAGCTCAAACTTCAAATGGAATTTTCTCGAATTTTGTGACATATCCGATCTATCAAATTTCACATCGGATGGTTGTAAGTAATTATGACTACATTATATCAAAGGTAAATAGTCTCATTATGTACAATCTTTTAAATAAATTTCAGATGAAAAGTTTTCCATAGTTTTTAATAGAAAGTCTATTATACGTCGCATGTGAAGTTTATTGCTTTATATGGCATATATTGAAAATAAAAGTAGATTTTGGCTTAAAATATTATAGAAAATTGATGCTAATATTCTCTATTATTCTGCAAATCAAAATCTATCCCCATTCAACTTACCATCGGATCAAACTTTCAAAATCCAAACTAAGGGTATGTCTGACACAACATGATTTAGATATTCAAAATTTCAAAAATCTGGATAAAAGTATTGCCTTGCTTTGTCTATATTTGGATTTTATATTGTCACGATATGCTTTTTGATGGGGCACGTTTGACTGTGTAATTGTATTTCAAAATTTTTATAGATTTATAATTTTTCGACTTTTTGGTTGACAAACTTAGAACTTATCGATTTTAATATTTTGACACATATTCGATGATTGGTACAGGAATGTAAGGCGAAGGAGATATGATATGGGGATATCATCAAGGAGGCCTAGAATCAAGTGCTTTGGTTCTTGTATGGATCCTGATTTGGGTTTGCTCTTCAAAGCTTCAAATTAGCTTCAATGGCAGATGTTAGGGTTCAAATTAGCTTCAATGGCAGATGTTGAACTTCAAATTAGCTTCAATGGCGGATGTTGGGGTTCAAATTAGCTTCAATGGATGTTGTTCTCCCTCTCTAAGATGTTAATCTCTCTCACGAGACTTTCCAATGATCTTTCTACACAACTTTTTTGTTTTTTTTGACAAATGTTATCAGCTATTATTAATGTAAATCAGTTACCCAAAAGGGATTACATTTTTCTGCGCAACTCTTTGATGCTAGAGAGAGAGAGAGAGAGAGATTTGGGGGCTGAACTAAGTGGTGAGAGAGAGATTGGGGTTTAGAGGATCTCTGTTGAGGGAGAGAAAGAGGGTTGCTGATGAGAAAGAGGATTTTAGTTGAATCTTAGAAAAGGGCAGTTCGAAGGGAGAGGAAGAGAGAAAAAAAGGCGGTATGAGTGGATGAGAGAGGGAAAGAGATGCAAAAGTTATTGACGCTCAAAGTGAATCCCGCAAAATTGAAGTACAACTTGAATTTTTGAGAATTCAAATAATTGGAAGCCATCTGAATATAAAAAGATCTAATTTGATCCTATCAAACAAGAAATATTAACTTGTAAAATTCAAATTACAATAGAGCTATATTATTCTGAAATATTGAGATATTAGGGTGTTTTCAAACACACCCTAAACCAACAACATAATTCGGAAAATGAAAATTTAAACTGGTTTTCTGTGAACCAACTGATTCCAATTTTGAAATTTTGACTGTCATTGCGCAACTCGATTTCTTCTGTCTAAACTCAAATAAACCTTTGGGAATTTCAAAATCTGAATCGGATCATTCAAAACCAATTTGGGATTTCAATTTCCTACTAATTTGTTGTAGTTTTTGTTTGGATTTTACAAGTCCAAATCAAAGGTTGGGAAAAAATAAAAGCAAAGCAAAAATGGAGACGCAGGCACTAGATTTTTAATTCTATAAATAACGGGATATTAGCATAAAGTTATTAAGTGAAAAAAAAAGTTAATTAACAAAGTAGAAGAGTGAATAGAGATTTATGTAGTTCGACCATTGTCAAATTTTATATTTTCCTGATTAGAAAAAGATGAAAAATATAATGATTTTTAAGCACTTTATCAAGAACCCTAAAATAAAAATATCTCTCTAGAATACTTCGCTAGTGGGCCACAAGAAAAATCACCCCCTCATTTTCTCTTGTATCCTCTCCAAATGTATATAATTTATCTCTAAAAATCACCTTGATATGACTGGAAGCCCGAAAAGTAAACCACATACAACCCTCTCCGTGTTCGTAAATTTCCTAGATGAGAACTCTTGATCCGAATCGGAATTGGTCAAGGCCAAACCGGTTTTAGGACAATATGGGTCCCAGCTTAGTTTCCTGCTAAAACACGTTCTTTTATATTGTTTTTTTTGTCTTTTTAAAGTTTATATAGTGTTGTTTAGGTCCTCCTAAATCCCCACCCGCAAACCCCTGCTTTTATTTTCTTTTTTTATTTTATTTATTTATTTTTATATTTTTTGAATCACTAATTCAAACCAATCCGGATCGCCAATCCAACGATTCGACACTTATATGTGATGTGAATCATCCACCCAATCCTCCAGGTTTTGAAACACTAATCGATACCAAATACAGAGATTCCCTCAATTATAGGATTGATTTACTTTTCTCGTATTTATGAATGTTAGTTTGAATAAAAGAGGGACATACGTTCCTTTAAACACACGTTTTAAATCAATCATCTAACCACATGCTAGAAAAGTTCTACACCACATGAATTTCATTTCCCTATATATATATATATATATACACAAGAGTGCTATTTCTATAATGTTGCAACCTTAAACAATCCAATTAAGGTGCACCTAGTGTTTTTGTAACATGTAATTTAGGTGTAAAAAATTGTTACGATTATACTTAAAAATTATTTTTATATCTAATTATAAAATTTTAAACTTAAAATTTGTCAAAATCAAGTAGATCTATAAATATATGAAAATCATGAAAATGAACGTTCTAGATAAAGTGTTGTAAGATGCACTATTTCTAAGACTCAAAATCTTTTTTTATATATATTCATATATCTCGATGTCGAGATGATCAATTAGAGGGTTTTTCAACATTAAAACAACATTCTTCGATGGATTTTTGAGTGCATCTGTAATTCTATATTTTAAGGTTGCAACC